GCAAAGTCATGGCCACTGTGTTTTAGGATTCTAAGGGTGTATTGTTGATTGATTATAAACCTGCTGGAAGCTCTATCACTGGAGCTTACTATGCAGATCTAATGAAGCAAAAAAACGGAGGGGAAAGTTGAGTTAAGGTGCATTGCTTTGTCATGACAATGCTCCTGTGCTCAAGCCTTGAATTGCAAAAGCTGCTATTTGCGAACCTAAGTTCGAATAACATAGTCACCCACCCTACAGTCCAGATCCGGCCCCCAGTCATTATTACCTGTTTAGAAATTTGAAACCACATTTGTGTGGATGATGATGCTGAGCTGATGATGATGAGCTCAAGGCTGCAACAGAGGCATGGATTGAGGACCAAACTGAAGACTTCTATTTTAAAGGTAGAGACAGTCTGAATGAAAAGTGGACTAGGTACATTGAGGTGAATAGGGACTATATTGAAATATAGTAGTACAATGCATGGTCTGCTGCTGCAACATATTCCTTGTTCTATGAACTTTTTGACCTCCCCTCATATCTCATTACCTTTATAAATGCTCTTTCATGTTCTGTTCTGTTGTGTTGCTCCAGTGATGATTGGATCGTGGTTTGACCATGTGACCAACTGGTGGGAGAAGAAGCAGACTTATTCAAACATTCACTACATGTTCTATGAAGATTTGAGTCAGGTGACTACATGTGGTGTATTACAAAAGAAATTGCTTTGAATTTCGGGGCATTTGCTGATTCATCTTCTTGCAGAGAATTAGATAAGAGGAATAGTTTACAAACTGTTAAATATAAGGCTACAATCAGACAGCAGTTAGCTTAGCTTAGCATAAGGGCTGACAGGAGGGAAACAGAAACATGTTCTGTTGGCTTGTCACTGTGGAAACTCAAGTAAACATTGGCCTGATTGAAATTATTGAAATTTGTCAAATCTTTGAACAGAGCCAGACTTGTTGTCCCAGTGCAACCAGGCAGGACTTCTACATTTCTAGTTTTTTTTTTTGGTTTTTTAAGAATTTCATGCTAATTTGCGTTGAGTAGAACTAAAACCAATATGCTTTAATATCCTCTTCAAATATTAAGCGTCGACATAAGATTGATGAGTTAGGTGTGTTGACTTTGTAACTCTGTAATGTTACATTTTGTTATTTTGGCAGTAAGTAAAAATGAAGCTCTACCAACTGCACATTCCTTTTTACTCAAGGATTATATCAGTCTTTTCCTCTAATTCTTGACAAGAAAACCAGCAAGTAAATTTCCAAAATGTCAAACTATTTCTCCTTTAGCTTTCACTGATTCTAGAAGAGTGACAGAAATCAATGTTGTATTGAAATGTTAAAATATAAATAACAGCTTTTCAAAGATTTTCAGGATAATAACTGCTTTGTACTATATCTCTGATGACTTGGTCACAACAAGGCTGATGCTTTGACTCTCTAATGTGAGCAGGACTTAGGACGAGAGGTGGACCAACTGTGTTCCTTCCTTGGTTTGTCTCCTTCAGCTGAAGACAAAGAAAAATTAAGGACCTCAGTGACGTTTGACAGTATGAAACAAAATAAAATGACCAACTACTCCACTGTCCCAACGATGAACCAGAAGGTGTCTCCTTTCATGAGAAAAGGTACTGTGGAAAAAGTGTGTTCAGGAAAGAAGTTTCTTTTTCAGATTTTCTGCTAAAATCTATTCCGTTTATCACTGATGTGATCAAATGACCTGAACGATTTTCTCTGCTTGTCCAGGAAAAGTCGGGGACTGGAAGAACCATTTCACCGTGTCCCAGAATGAAAAGTTTGATGAGGTCTACAAGCAGAAAATGAAGAATTCTATACTGAAGTTTCACACTGAATGTTAAATTCCTGACTGGGCATGATGGAGTCCTGAAGTGTTGTGATTGAACGCTGCAAATGAGTTGTTTTAGTTCATAGGTGAAATCAACTGAAAAACCTTTGGTAATCATTATTTGTATATTAATCTTAATGTTCTGTTAATGATCAGTTAGTTGCTTATGTTTGAATCATTTTTTCAACATTTTTACGTGTTTTATGTTCAGAGTTACAAGCTGACTGTTGCTTATAGTATGTGAGATATGTCCATTGTACAACAAGAGCAAAACATGGAGATCTCAGGTGTTCTCAGCTACACAGTTTCAACGTGAAGAGTCTCCAATTGGTCTCTTGCACATTTCTTTCTGTGCTATTGTTTTCAGAATCCCCTTCCCTACAACATCAACCTCCATGCTGGCAAATTATGACAAAAAGTTGTTTTTGTGTTTCATACAGGGTAGCTGTGCTACTTCTGTTCCTGTTAATAAATAATTTCTTTTCAAGTGTGTTTGTGTCCGAGTGTGTCTCTTTGAAAAGAGAATGAGAGGTCAGAGGAACGACCCCAGCACTCGGCTGTACGTTGACCAAATCAATGTCAGTATGTAACTGAGAATCACTCCCTAAACTCCCTCAGGTGTGGAATATTCTTTCTTCTTCTTCGCCTTCATTTTTAATACAAACTTATTTTATGCAAAGATTTTGTACAAAAATACAAAAATAGCTGCTCTTTCACTAAAGCAGCTATTCCAATGACGATGCTCCCCTCCCTGCATGTTTTACCAAAGCATTCCTCCTCACTACTTTGAGAGGACATCATTGCTGCATCCTGGGCTTCACACCACCCAAGGCAACAGGGTTTGGTTTAAAACAAATACACGAGGTGTGCCAGAAAAGTTCCAGGAATATACTTCCAACCTATACTGTGAGTTTTCTCCTTCAGACGATCAACCAGCACGTCTACAAAGAGATCCTGCAGCATTTGCTTCATTCAGTGCATGAGAAAACGCGAGAGTTGTGGTAGGACAAGTCGTGGCTGCTTCACCATGACAACGCACCTGCTCACAATGCCCTGAGCATCCAAACGTTCCTGGTTGAGAGGAACATCACCGTGCTAGAGCAACCTCTCTCCTCACCCGACCTAGCACTGTGGGATTTTTCTCTTCCCCAAGCTCAAGGGGGTCATCAAGGGGACCCGTTTTGAAGATGTAGACGACATCAAGATGCCTGTGACGACGGAGCTGCAAAGGATCCTGGAAGAGTCCTTCCAGGAGTGCATGCCGGCGTGGCAGAGAAGGCTGGGAAAGTGTGTTAGACTCCAGGGGGATTACTTCGACGGGGACAACTTGTAGTTTGTAGTTTGTATTTAAAATATATCTTTTGTGACACCAGTCCTGAAACTATATAGTACACACGTAGACAAAATTATTGGTACCCCTCGGTTAATGAAAGAAAAACCCACAATGGTCACAAAAATAACTTGATTCTGACAAAAGTAATAAGAAACAAAAATTCTATGAAAATTGAGCAATGAAAATCAGGCATTGGTTTTGAACCGTGGTTCAACAGAAGTATTTTTTTTTTAAATAAACTCATGAAACAGGCCTGGATAAAAATGATGGTACCCTTAACTTAATATTTTGTTGCACAACCTTTTGAGGCAATCTTCATAGAACATGTAATGGAGTTTTGAGTAGGTCTTTGTCTTCTTCCACCAGCCATTCACATGGTAGTACCAGGAGTTTTATTATGGGACACCACGGTGTCTTTGGCAATGGGCCCGCATAAATCATCTACACAAAAAGAACACCAAAGTTATCTACAGACCAGCATTCAATTAAAGATTATACTATTTGAAATCAAGGAAGATAACAAAGTCTACATTACCCTGCTGTTTTGCTCCCAAAAGGACTTTAGCACAAGCTGGACTGGAGGATGAGTTCTAATGATTTGAGGAGATGTGAGCATCTTGTCGGCCACTTCTGTTCCCTTCACCAAGAGTTGAGTAATCCCGTAAAAAGCCGAAATTCATGGACGTGGTATACTGAAGGATAAACCTTAAAAAGGTGCTTGTACATTTGTGATATATGCAATATGATTCAACCTGGCTGCTCCACAGTGACAACAACCTCCAGAAGAGGCACTCTGGTATAAATAGGGATGGATTCCTGATTCTCTGGAGATGTCTGACCAAAATACATCTAGTCAAGGGTGTAGCAGAGCCATCTATTCCCTAAGAGACAGAGGGATGAAAATGTAAAAAATATTTATATACTCTAGATGTTCACCAACATGCATCAAATCAGAAGAAAACACATCCTGCTCATGGTGATGGACTGACCTGTTCTGGGGTAAGTTGCAATAAGTATATCATCTGTCCTGGCCTGGAAGTTCTGAACTGCCTTCCAGCTTTCGGTGTAACAAGAAATCATTGAGACCCTGGTATTGGGTAAATCACACTAATGCAAATGATTTCTAATGTTACCTGTTCATGACTATTCAGTTTCTTACAGGCAGTTGCATTAAACTCTTTCGAAAGTGGCTTCCACAGATCATCTTTACTGACAGAAAAGAGATTGGTTAATTTGCAAATCTGTTCTGATAAGCTCCATATTTCATTTTAAGCAGGTGTTAAACCCCACATAAGAGAAAACATAAGTTTTTGAGTATATGGAGGTCTACCTGGTGAAGATCACCAATCCCTCAATATGTCCTTTGATTGTTGTTTCTCATTTGTTTGTTGCTCCCTATTTTGTTCACCAACGGCTTTAACTGAGGCATGCGACACCCACTTAGTATTTTGTCCACTCCCTTGTTGTTATAGCAAGCTTGTCCAAGTTAAAGAAAAATGTCACACAGGAATTTGTCTCTCAAATGATTCCTAGAGAAGTGTTATCATCCTGTTGGATAAATAACTGGATGTGTTTGTGGAAAAGTTTTGAGAAGTTAGTTAACATCGCAATTAATCTTTAGTGTCACAAAGTCAATCAGTGTCACTGCCACACCCTCCACCTCAGCCACCTCCCTCCTTTTCCCTGAGGGCGTGTGTGAGGTGTGTGCATGTGTGCTTCCACCTGGGCAGATCTTGTCATGCCCTCGACTTCTGGTGCCGACTAGTGGCGGCTGTTTCCTGTTGTTCCTCCCTCTTTGGCTCTCTCTCTCTCTCTCAGGCACGGCTGGTGGTGGAGCATGCAGACAGGTGTTTCTCATCTCTAATCAGCTGATTGGCACCGCAGGATTGGTCCGCTTCAGCTGCAACCTCTCTGGCTACCGGTATTTCAGCTGCGGTCGGACGATGCTCCAACGCCAGACTGTCGTACCATGCAGTTAGTATTTCTTGTGCAATTGTCTAGCCGTCAGTTTGTTCTGCTCGTTTTAACTCCTGACTTTTTGCTACCCTGCCGGATCTGCTGCCAACCACCAACCATCCACTCATCACGGTTCATCTCTCACCATCTGCCGCCTATCCACCACCATATTCAGCACTACACCTTTCTGCTCTGGTTCCTGGTTTCTGCCATTCTCCGGTTCTCTCTGCCGCCAGCCGTTGCCCCCAGTTCTCCATCTGTATTGAGCCAGTTAAGGCGCCACCGCTCTGTCAACTGCATTTAGTATATTCATTAAGGCCGTCATTGACTAGTAGGTTTTTCCAGTTCGTCCGTTCACCTTTTGTTTAGCTCTTTGTCAGTCAGTGAGTAGTTTCGTCAGTAGTTCTGTTTAGTCTGTCTGATTTCTCAGCATTTAGCTTTGAGCTCTTTTTGTTAGTCGTTTAGTGTTTTGGTTTTCTCTCAGTACTTCGTCTGAGCTCCTTTTGTTCTGTTAGTTCTCAGCATTTTTTAGTCTGAGCGCCCTTGGTTTGAATTTATTTTTCTTTTGCATACTCAGCATTTTCCTGAGCTCTTTTAGTTTTATTTTCAGTCTGCCTCTCCATCTCAGCACTTAGTTGAGCTCTTTGAGTTAGTATTCATTTTTGTTTCTTCCTAGCCAGTCAGTACCTGGTGTTGGTTGTAATTATATTTTTTTGGATTCTGTTTGAGTAATAAATTGTTAAATTGCCTTGGTCTACCATGTCTCTGTTGTCTGCACTTGAGTCTCCGCCCTGCCCATAACAGATCTGAATGGATAATAAGCTGAGCGTGGACACCTGTGACGGGGAGTGATTCACCTGCTCTGGATTCCGTCATCTGCCATAAAACAAGGGCTTTGTTCATCATTTGATGCTGGACTGTTGTACTACACACAGTTACTTAATTCAGGACAGGACAATTCTAATACTGTGGCTTTTGAACCTCACCAATTATTCTGTCTATTTTTCCATTGGATTCCTACCTCAAGTTGTTTTCACTGTCAGGATCCCGGTCTTCTGCCATTCATTCCCCAAAGCACACCATAAGCCGAAGACACACAATACTGGACCTCTCCAGCCATGCATCTCCTTCGCCTGCATTCTCCCAGCCGCCCTCCCCTTGTTGCTGCCAGCTAAACTGCAAGTTTCGTTTTTGGTGCCTCATGATTAGTTCGTTTTTATCCGTCTAATAGTGTATTCTTTTACTGGTGTAACTCGCTAGTAGGAGCTGTAATGTTGCACCTTTTCAGCACGTTCGTCTGTAATACATCACAAATGAGGACAACTGAGTGACCCAGCCACCACACATACTGTTCACAATTTGAAGTAGGAACGGAACAGATGAGGTTTTTAATTTAGATTTGAATATTATTGGGTCTGAGGCATCTCAAATATGTTGTGGGAGAGAGTTCCAGAGGGTGGGGGCGGCGACAGAAAAGGCCCTATCCCTCCAGGTTCACTGCTTGGTCCTGGGAACGATCAAGAGGTTGGAATTTTTGGAGCGGAGGGTACGTGAAGGGGTGTAGGGGTGGAGCATGTCTTTGAGGTAAGAGGGGGCTTGATTATGGAGCGGTTTATGGGTCAGTAGAAGGATTTTGAAGTTGATACAGTATGGGATGGGAAGCCAGTGAAGGTTTTGAAGAACAGGGGTGATGTGTTCTCGGGAGCGGGTGTGGGTGAGGAGGCGGGCGGCAGAGTTTTGGATGTATTGGAGTCTATTGAGGAGGTTGGTGGTGGTACCGAAGAGGATGCTATTGCAGTAATCAATGCGTGATGTAATGAAGGCGTGGATGAGGGTTTCTGCTGCGGGGAGGGAAAGAGAGGGGCGGAGGCGGGCGATGTTTTTTAGGTGATGGAAGGCTGTTTTAGTAACAGAATTTATGTGTTTGGTGAAGGTGAGTTTGGTGTCGAAAATGACCCCTAGGTTACGGCAGTGGGGCGAGGGTGACAGGGAGGAGTTATCAAAAGAAAGATGGAAATCTTGAACTGTAGAGTTGAGGGAATTGGGACCAATAATGAGAATGTCAGATTTACTGGAGTTAAGTTTGAGAAAATTATTTTGCATCCAGAAATTAATATCAGTGAGACAGTTTGAGAGGGTGGCATGGGTTTGGGAATTGACAGATTTAGTGGAAATGTATAGCTGGATGTCATCAGTGTAACAATGGAAATGGAGACCATGATGATGAATGATCTGGCCAAGGGGGAGGAGGTAGAGAATGAAAAGGAGAGGACCAAGCACTGAACCCTGGGGTACACCTTGGGGCAGGGGGGCAGGAGAGGAAGAGCAGTTATTAATATCGATAAACTGTTTCCGGTCTGCAAGATATGACGTTAGCCAGGCAAGGGCATTACCAGTGATGTGGAGAAGGGATTGTAATCGGGAGGCAACAGTTCTTTCCAGAATCTTAGAGAGAAAAGGAAGGTTGGATATGGGCTGAAAGTTGCTGATGTTGTCAGGATTGAGTCCAGATTTCTTGAGGATGGGGGTGGTGGCAGCCAATTTAAGGGAATGAGGGACAGGAGGAGTTAAGGGACGAGTTTACAATTTTAATGATAAGTGGAGAAATGGTGGGGAGACAGTGTTTAACAAGAATGGATGGGATGGGATCGAGAGTGCAGGTGGAGGAGTTCATGGTAGCAATGATTTTGGTCAGATCAACTGGGGAGATCGGTGAGAAATTAGAGAGAGGAGAAGTGATAATAGGAGTCGAGTGGGGAGGGGGGGGAGACGTGGGAGGTAGGGGAGGCAGATAGGGAGTTATAAATGGAGTCAATTTTTGATTGGAAGAATGAAAGGAAAGAATTGCATTTGTCAGCAGTAAATGAGTTTGAGGTGCCTCCTCTTCCTGTCTTCTCCTTTTTCTAGGGGGACGCCAGCCTGGGAGACTCTACTGATTCCTGACAAAGCATTTTCCCACACCACATCAGCTCATCGAAGTCGTCACCAACACAACGCTCATTTGTATCCAACAAACATAAAGCTTCAGTTTGATGGTGTGGTCCTAGATAGTAAATTCATATAAGATTAGTTAGAAGTAAGACCTTACACCTCTATCACGTTCTAGAAATGCCACATCTAATCAGTGATGAACCTTTAATGTACACACACAGTTTTTCTGGTCCAGTTTAGATTGTAGTACAGAACTAAAGTGTGGGATCCTTCATCTTTTGCTTGAAGTGTTCATCACACTCTTCATTTTGGGTCACAGTGAAGTGGTTCTTTTTTTTGGTTTTGTTTTGTTTTTATATCATTAAACCATTATTTGTAAAATGCTGGATATACCAACTTCATCCTAATTCTTTTCTGTTTACACAGAACAAAATCAAATACAAAAGCAAAAGGATCAAACTGGAAAAGTCGATCATAACCTGCCATTGTTATGGCAGACACTGCATCACAAGTTCTCATATATCCATGCTCGTCCTCCGCTCTGAGGTGGCAAGGAAGTTCAAATCAAGTACAAAAGTCAATAGTCTCAGTTCATTATACCTGATTTTTGATATTTAATGTCCCACACAGAAGAAAACAGAATGTACAACAGAAATGAGCCCTTGTTGTTTTATTACAAATACAAGATGTGAAAAAATATGGATATACCTGAATTCCTTTCAATTTATCTCTCATACAAAAGTTATGTTCATCCAAGAGTATCAGTGTAAACATAGCTTACAGTCATAAAGCTTTTTTTGGTTTATTGCATCATTGCTTATTTAGGTTACAGGACATATGTTCTCTATTTTGACAGAAATATTCACTTTGATTTTTTTGTGCTTCATAATACATAGTTTTCAGCTTTAATTCATATGAAATTACAAAAATAGAAATAAATCCCTGAATACCTCTGCTTCTCTTCAGCAATGCCACTTCTAGTCAGTCACGGACTCGTCTTTACATACAGACAGTGTATCTGGTCCTGTTCATACTTCAGTACGGAACTGAATTGTGGAATCCTTCATCTTTTGCTTGTAGTCTTCATCAAACTTTTCATTCTGGGCCACAGTGAAGTGGTTCTTCCAGTCACCAACCTTCCCTGCAGAACCACAGCACACCAGTTAGGTCTTTTTACTTAATGTGGAATGTCAGTTTTTTTTTTTTTCCTTTGTGTCACATTATTGTCCACCATACCTTTTCTCATGAAGGGAGAAATTGTGAAATCCATTTCTGCGATCGTGGAGTAGTTGGCCATCTGATTCTTTTTCATGCTGTCAAACTGCGTTCCTCCTAATACCATTTTCTTCTCTTCAGCTGAAGGAGACAAACCAAGAAAGGAGCATAGATTGTCTATTTCCCGTCCAGTGTCCTGGAAGCACAAGGTCAAATATCATTTCTGCATTACTGCCAGATAAAGGAAAGCTGTAGAAAAGCTGCCTGATTGGTACAGAGTCAAAAAAAATCCCAAACTACCTCAATCATATCTTCATAGAACATGTAATGAATTTTTGGATATGTCTGCTTCTTCTTCCACCAGCCATTCACATGGTCGTACCAGGGCCCAAACACCACTGAGGCCACAGAAAAATACAAGAAAGTAGTATTTAAAGCAATGTGGAATAAATGGACAGAGAAAAATATGTATCATAGTATTTCATACATACTCTTTCCTTTCATGAATTGCTGGAAGAAGTCATCCCAGTCTCCAGCAGGTGGCTGCAGCTTGTTCATGCGATTGAAGTGGAAATAAGACACCATGTTGTCTTTTGCATTGCGGGCGACGTAGACAACCTATAGAAGCAGAAAACACTTCATACATAACCAGAATCAGACATACTTTTAAATTCTAATGTTTCTGTTTGCTGTCTATTTTTTCCTTTAAATGGAATATAATTCCTATAGGCTTCTGAACCTGGTTTGTTGCACAACATCAGCATTATCCATTAACTTTGTTCATACATTAAGATAATGCAAACAGTTAAGGAGCTCCTGTACCCTGCAGTTTTGCTCCCAAAAGGACTTTGGCACAAACTGGACTGGCAGATGGGTTTTAATCAGTCGAGGGGAAGTGGGGAGAGTGTCTGCCTGCTTTGTTCCTGTATGAAGAGATAAAGATGGAGTAAGGAAAACCCTGATCCTGAAAAATACTTGGGTTGTAGAAATATGACAAATGGCAAATGGCATTATCATTTCAGCATTGTCAAAATAAAGGTATAGTGATGGTTAAATGAGCTTGAGGCCTCGTTTAAAACATTGTGGGTTTGCATAACAATAACCTGACATGTCAGGCAAGATGTGGAGCTCCAAGAAAGGCACTCTTTCATGGATAGGCAAGGTTTTCTGACGCTCCGTCTGACCAAACCACAACAGGTCAAGGATTTGGGAGACCCATGTGGTCCCTAGACAGAGAGGGGGAGATATATATATATATATGTAGAGAGAGAGAGAGAGAGAGGGAGAGGGAGAGGGAGAATAAGATGATCATAACCCTTTTCTGTATACACTCATTTTATGAGCTACAAAGTCCTTTACACATGTTTATGGACTGACCTGCTTTGGGGTATGTTGCAATAAGAATATCATCTGGTCTGGCCTGAAACTTTTGAAGGTTCTCCCAGTTGTCAGTGAAAATATTGGTCATTGAGACTCCTTGGAAGTCAAACATCTCCGGTCGAGCAAGTGCATCCATCTTTAAAAATAAATAAATAAATAAATCAAGCAAAGAAATGAATCCAAATATATGATCACTGATAGGGTAAAAAAAGGGAAAGCCATGTTGTACATTGTAGATAGTGAAGTCGGATTTTCTTACACGGTTTCAACAACCACTCATCTTAAAAGAAGACAAGAGACAACAAAGATATAACAGCTCAAAAGTACAGTTGTCTCATGAAAAAAAGTGTTGTGCCTACTGCGGAAAAGAGGGGTGAAAACCTTCAAAGGTTTGCAAAAGCAGTTGAAGCTACATAGGTCTTTCATGTATTTCAAACACCTCCATTCACAAACGCATTCTTATGAGCTCAGCATTACACGTTTAACATGACGCAAACGGCATGAAAACAAAACACACTGTACGATAAAATGACTAAATAAAGAGGTTGATTTTGACATCAGACATACCTTTTCAGGATCAGGTGGCTTTTTGATTGCTGCTCGTTTTCTGCCTAGCTTCTCTGACTCCACTGTTTCCCTGACTGGTGTAGTATGCTCTTTTCCCTCTTTTGTTGTTGCATAACTCTTTTTTTTCGTCAGAGTAGACTCACTTTCAGATGTGTTTGAAAGTCCAGCCCCTCCCTATCCTTCCACATTTCCTGACCTCTTTTATCCCCAGTTTTATCAGAACCACACAGTGTCCAAGATATATGTCGGTGTATACTTAATTTGTTAAGATATCATCAAGTTATGACTAACAATAGTACAGAGAGTCACAGAGTGCAAGTATTGAATTTGTTCAACGCAACCTTTAAGTGTAATAACACTGAACTGTTGAGCACATTAACTAGAAATATGGGGATCATGGATTATGGTGACATTTTATTCATGCACACTTCAGCTTTAACTCACAGACCCTAAGATTTCTTAACACTGATCATTGTAATGCTAGGTGGTCCTCCATCTCGTATAGACACTGTGTTATATATCAGATAAGGCCTTTACTGTTTTTTGTTTTTTTAACCCCATTACATAACTTTGTTGCTGTCTTTATTTCATCTGATTTTATTTCCAGTTTAGTTCATTCACATTTATTATAGTTGGGCTTAATTTTTTTCTGCTAATTTCCTTTTTTATTATTTGTATTGCCGTTTTTAACTCTACGTTTCTTATTTGTTTTTCTAGGTGTCCAGGATTTGTTGCTGGTTTTTTTGCTCAGCTATTTTATTGGTGAGGTCTCTACTTCAGTGTAATCCTGAGTTCAGATAAAGGTTGTATAAATGAATGAATGGATTTAATTAACTGATTGTGTTGAAGTGTAGCCATGCGACATGCAGGTGTGTGTTTGTGGACAAAGAATATGCGCCGATAAAATACAGCATCAGCAATAAGATGAGTTATGGCAGGCACATCAAAACAGGCTATAAAAGTGAACTATGACCAAGACCTGGATGTTTGATGGATGTAGTTAATCATGCACTGAGGTCAGAAACTCAAATTCACTTGTGGTACAGTATGCAAAAAACAAATTACTTTGAAAGTCCCTCAGAGAACAACAAACAAGGGTTCTTCTTTAGTCATGCCCGACACCTTCGCCTCTGCTTAGGTGGCAGCTCTCCCTCCTTTCCCCTTCCCTTTCTGTGGGCATGATTCTGTTGAGTGAGTGTTTCCCTGTGGATGTGTGTGAACCTCGCAGATTGGATCATCACCTGAGTAAGGATACCTGTGTCAGGGAGTAATAAACACCTTTTACTAAATTCTGGATGTTGTGCTCATTGTCTGCACTTTGTCCCTGACTTCCTGTGACAATACGGTCCAGCAAGAATGAACTGAGGAGACAGTGAACATAACACTGACCGAGCTTTCCCCTTTCCTGCAGTCCATTAGACTCTAGCCAACTATTAGGTCAGCCCGAACAAGTGCTCTGCAGTCTTGTTGAAAATCAGTCTTCTCCCTGTAAGGTTTCAAATTGAACCTCCCAGGTTGCTCAGCCACCATCAGCTACCAGTCCTGCTCAGTCCCCTCAGAGTTCAATTCAGGCCACCACTCAGACTACAGTCATGTCCTCTTTTATTAGAGAATCTTTTGTGCCTATTCCAGCTTACTCAGGGTGAAGGCAGGGGACAGGTCGCCAGTCTATCACAGTAGAGCTACACTTAGAGACACTCACATTCACACCTACGGACAATTTAGAATCACCAATTAGCCTCAATATGTTTTTGGACTGTGTGGGAGGAACCCGGAGAGAACCCATGCTGTACGGGGAGAACATGGAGACTCCACACAGAAAGATCCCGGGTGTCCTCACCGGGACGCGAACGCGACATTCTAGCTGCGAATCAACGGTGCTAACCACCGAGCCACCTTGCAGCCACTGTTATAACTTGACCATGTTGGCAACCAGAGCACATTATTACCAACAAGCCACGAGTGTTATGCGACACTTAAAGCAGCCAGAACTCATGAAAAGCTCCGGGTTGAGCAGGATAGCGTTTCCTTTACCTGGTAATGTATGAATATTAGCTGCTATTAGCATAATAATTAGCATACTGAACGCTATCTGCACTGCGTGTTATTGATTGACTACACTGGTTAAGAAGATTGCTCAGAATTTGCCTCCCTAGTAAGAAGCAGGAAGTTACCTGAATGGGAAAGATTCCAGGT